TAAAAGATTCAAACATATAATTCAATGAACTAAAATCAAGTGTACACGATAAAGATTCAAGAGTTTATATATATATATATATATATATATATAAGTACGTAATTTATTGACCACTTTTAAGYGATCAATCACAAAGTGGTGAACCACCGTTACGAAGGGTCAACTACAACAACTAGTTGCCCAAGAGTCAAAGAAAGTGAAATYCGTACCTTAARCRRAATAGAGAAGTAAAGCACGATCAAACGGGATTCACGGTAAAGTTCGACTTGTTTGTGTGCCTAACGAATGCGCAAATCGGTTATTACTTAAACGACGTAAAATCATATCCTAGTTCTACTAATAAATTACATAGGTCTTACATGTTTATAAACAACTTAAACTTCAAATACGACAACCGAATATGTATTACGAAATCGACGCAACACTTAGCTTTATATAACTCCGATTCGACTTTTAACAGCTTTTTACTCTAATTTTCGGGAGCATTTTTACCCCACTTAGATATCAATACAGAAAATACTATCTAAACGAAAGATGTAGTTTGATATGTGATGAAACTACTGTTTCTCAAATCACCTCATTTGGATTATCCATCTATTTTATACGAATATTACAAAACAGCATATCAATCCTAAATACATTACAAACAGCCCCGAAAACACACTGTTTCCAGCCACTTAGAGTCATAACTGGATTTTCGACCCTACATGAAAGTTGTAGTATACATTAAGGGCTTTCTAACTGCAAAATATGAGCTTATTCCGACTTACGATTTGCAAGTTATACACTGTCAAAGTATGGACCTGCATAGTCGGTAAAATCCGATTCCGCAATTCCCGACTAATTTTTATAATCCAATTTCCATGATTCGCTACATTTACGTGATATTAACATACTTCAACATACTAAACAGCAAAATAACTCCAATGATCGCTACCCTAAGCTTAATCTTGCAATTTTATCTTTTTCGGCATTATATCGAATAATTGGTGTGTCGTTAAACATATACACCAAATCTAACCATAATGAAACCATAATCTACCCTTTTAATTTCTACATCAATTTAATCAATCCTAGTATTCTAAACATGAAATATATCATACTTATAACAATATCTATCCGTAAACTTAGACATAACATCATTTATAAACCGGTCTAAAAAATGCTAACGTAAACACCCTAATAAAAGTGAATAAAATTTATACCTTTATGAAGGGTTCGAARAGTGGATTCCGAATATATAATCGTTACTTCGATAGCTTCAACGATTTGAGAAATATTTGAGAGAGAAGAAAAAATGAGAGAGAGAGAGAAGTGAGAAGGAGAAGGCGGTGAAGAAGAAGAATCAGATACGATGCATTTTTTTTTATCATATATATATATATATATATATAATAATTATAATTATAATAAGTTTAGTAATTTGACGGTTTTAACCCCTCAACAATTTTCGGCCGTCATTTAAATACGGTACAATTTGGGTAAGTTAACGAGAATGTGATTTTAAAATTCGGGTCTTACAAAAACAATTTATTTTTGGTTTAATATTATAAATTTTATAAAGATAATAATTAAGTATTCTGTTATAATTTAATAATTACACTAATTATATTTTAGATCTGTTATATTTAAAATGAGATGTATATCATGTATTTGATTGTGTTTATCTGCAGTTAGTTACACGAATTCAGATATGGGATGAAATCGAATAGGGATGAAATTGTTTATGGATGAACGGGTTTAAGAGTTTTTAAGAGTTTTAGCCAAATGCTTTATAAGATAGTATAGATTTATATTTAAAATGAGATGTTTATCCTGTATTTGATTGTTTTTGTCTGCAATTAGTTACACGAATTTAGATATGGGATGAAATCGGATAGGGATGAAATCGTTTAGGGATGAATGAGTTTAAGAGTTTTTAAGAGTTTGTAAGAGTTTTAGCCAAATGATTTATAAGATAGTATATATATATATATATATATATATATATATATATATACACCCCCAAGGGTGGTGCCTGATTGGTTTAAGCTTGGCTCCAAATGTCAAAAGTACCAGGAGGTCCCAGGTTCAAATCCAAGGAGGAATAAAAATCCCCTTGTGGCCACGGAGTTTCAAATGCGGTGACTTCGGGGGCTATCTGCAAAGTAGGTGGTCATCCTGGGATTAGTCAGTTTGCATAGCGGGTTGAATATCCAGTTTAATAAAAAAATCTAACTCTATATATAATTAGCACTAGAGTCAACTAGAAGAGTACCCGCGCAATGCAGTGAGACACATCTCGATTTTAATATTTTATTTATTATTTGTCTCTATCGATGTTATAATACGATTTTATGTGTTTTTAAGAAAGCAATAATAATTTAAAATTTTGAACAAAATATAAATTTGAAGATATCATAAAAATTTGAAAAAAAAATATATATCAATGTCAATATCAAATCAACTATTAAAAGTTCTTATTTTTTTTATGTAATTTCGTTAATTTTTTTATTATAACTTAATTTAAGTTTAATAACGAATTAATTTATTTTTGGTTTAATAATATAACATTTTATAAAGATAATAATTAAGTATTTTGTTAGAACTCAATGATTATCTTAATTATATTTTAGATTTTTTATATTTAAAATGAGATGTTTATTTTGTATTTGATTATGTTTATCTGCAGTTAGTTACACGAATTAAGATATGAAGCTTTAATAAGTTGTACTTACGCACAATCCACTTGTAATATTGAGTTTTATGTAATATGTATTAATAAATACTATTTTACGCATAAAAAGTGGTTTTTAAGAGTTTTTATCAAATTCTTTATAATACAGTATAGATATAACACATATCTTTTAATTTACATAATTTTATTAAGACCTCTATTTTTAGGATTTTTTATAGAGTTCCCAAACTATGAACTCTTTAAAACAAATATAATAAGCTCAAACAAGTCAAATGAAAAAAAAAATAACAAATCAATCAGACTCATATGTATCTGGAATGGTCATAATATTATCTATTATTGTTCCACTTTGTGCAATTGGATGTAGGAAAAGGGGGGTTTCAAGGAGGTTTTTGGTCAATGATGCAAATGAGTATATTATGACTAATATGAGCAAGTTGCAAAAATATTCAACAATTATATCAAAGTAGGTAACAACACAATGTTTGCTTGGTGAATATAAATATTTTATAAGAATATATATGTAGGAGATAAATTGATATGTATTATGACAAAACAATTTTCATAATACACCTCATGATTATAATCAATATTTTCACATATATTTTTTATGATTTTAAACTTTGAGAGAGTTAGAATCAATATTTTCACATGTTTTTATTTTAATTAATTCAAAAATTTAAAAAAATTAGCAACTAATGATTCTAACTCTCCCAATATGCCATATCATCTTTTGATATGATAAATAGTTTTCAAAATTTAAATGATTTCTAAAATAGATGCTTTTAATTAGTTGCTATTTTCTATAGTAATAATAAATGTTATTATTTATTATGGTTGGGTTGAAAAGATCTGCAGATTTGAATCAATCCTAATTTAATGTCAACTTTAATAAAGTGCACCAGAACAATTCCATTATAAAATCATTTTATGGGTGGGCATAAGATTAAAAGTGATCAAGAGTTCATATATTTTCTTACGTTTCTCAGCATAACTTTCTTTTTCACACGATTCTTCGCCTTATTTATTATCGTTTGTAACGGACATCAAAAAAGAAATTTGAGTAATAAATTTATATAAAAATAGCAATATTCTTTTTAAATGCAATAACATTAATTTACATTAAAAAAAATTAAAGGCAATGGTCTTAAAAGGTGATTTATTATACAACTCATTACATTTATACAACCTATGTAATACAATTTCAACCGGGGTGAAGATAGGGAAATTTATAAAACTAACCATTTTACATAACCCTTTGCCACAAAATAACCACATTTTAGAGTTTTTTCCAGAATGACCACTCGGATCACCTCCGGGGCGATCCCCCTTTTCTAAGTAAAAAAAAATTTATTTTATTTTCTTGGACACGTGTACTAGATGGGGGCGATCCGTACTATATGGGGGGCGATCCCCCTTTTCTAAGTAAAAAAAATTTTGAATTTTTTTTTTGAAAATTTCTTGGACAACGTGTACTAGATGGGGGCGATCCGGGTTTAAAAAATTTTGATTTTTTTTCCTAATACCAATTTTACTATAAATATCAACCTCCTACTTCATAATTTTTCACACCTCCTACTTCTCCCCCATATAGTACGGATCGCCCCCGGGGGCGATCCGAGTGGTCATTCCGGCAAAAACTCTAAAATGTGGTTATTTTGTGGCAAAGGGTTATGTAAAATGGTTAGTTTTATAAATTTTTTGTGAAGATATATGCACTCTTCCCTATTGGTAATGTGCATCCCTTTCTATCATTTAGGTCAAAGTCAACTAATAACTATTTTTCCATTAATTGTTTTTCAAAAATTTAATATCCTAAAATAAATTATATGTTATTTTTTATAAATAATAAGGTTTATTGCTTTCTAATTTATTGGTTTTAAATTTTATTAATATATAATTGAAATAAAAATTATAATTACTATAAACTAATAATTTTTATTATCTATTAACTAAAAAAGTAAGAGAGAGAGAGAGGGAGGGATATAAGAGAGAGAAAAAGTTTTTCAAACTTTTAAGTCATTTAATGTTATTAATATGTCTTTTTTGACTTTTTTTAATAGGTGAGGTGCAAATAACAACTTTTTTTTTATAAGGCAATAGCATTAATTTACATTAATTGCTTGAGAAAAATTCAAAAACAAACTTAAATTCAAAAAAAAAAAGTCAAAAGTGAAAATTGTTGTATAAAAACAGAGGTTCAAATATCTTATCATTCACTTGTGTTTTCCCTTCAACTCAATTCATGGCAATGAAGTTGTGGTCTCCTTTCACCATTGTCTTTCTTGTCCTTATTTTTCAAGAAAGCTTATTGTTTTCAGCCATGGCAGACAGAAAGTTCATAGAGAGCGTATGCAGGTCGACACCCTCTACCAACTTATGCCTAAAGACTGTGTTAGCAGACCCCAAAAGTAAAGACGCAGATCTAACAGGCTTAGCTCTCATCATAGTTTATGCAGTCAAAGATAAAGGCAACAAAATCATACACCAAATCAAGACTTTAGAGAAGCACGGTCGACCGGAGTTGAGGCCAGTACTAAAGTATTGTGAGAGGGTGTATAATACTGCAGTGACCGTGGACGTGAAATTAGCGGTTGACGCATTGACTCTTGGTAACGTAAAGTTTGGTGAGAATGGAATGGCTGATGTCGTCGTTGAGTCGCGGTCGTGTGAGGATACATTCGATCAGTATGCTCTGAAGTCACCAATGACGGAGATAAACAAGGGTATGGAAGATATTGCTAATGTAGCTAGGGCCATTATAAGAATGCTCTTATAAACTTAGTTTATTACAGTTAATTAATGAAAGAACTCTGATATTATTAATTATGTTATCGTTTTGCAATGAATTTTTTTTTTAGTTTTATATTTTTTAAGGTCTATTCGGAACTGAAAAACATTATTTGATTATTGTTTGTTTGTTTTCCGAAAAACCAAATTATCAATTGTCTGTATTTTGATAAAATTTGGGAAATTGATTTCGATGTTTAAAAAATATACAAATAATTCCATTTTATATAATTTTGGATTTAAATCAGAAATACGGTAGATTTATTTATTATAATGTAATTTAGAATAAAGTTACGGGTTTTATGAAAGTCAAAAAAAAAATTTGATTTTATCAAATTGACTATTATATCTTATTTTCTTCTTAGTTCCGAATATTCGTAAATTCCGTAAAATTCAGTAGAATGAGTATACGTGTTTATGCAATTTCGTACAAAAAGACGGCAAATTAAATTTAATTACATTAAAAAAATGGATTTATAAGTTACTAGAAGCGTACTCGCGCAATGCAGCGAGATACATCATGATTTTAATATTTCATTTTATTATTTATCTCAGTCGATGTTATAATATGACTTTATGTGATTTTGAAAAAGCGATGATGTTTTTATTTTTGAATAAAATATATGTTTGAAGATATCATAAAATTTTGACAAAAATATATCGATATAAGTATCAAATTAACTATTTGAAATTCCTCGTTTTTTTGTGTAATTTTTAATTCAATTTTTTTTATAATTTAATTTATGTATAATAACAAAATAAATTTATATTTGGTTTAATAATATAATTTTTTTGTAAAGATAATAATTATTTATTTTGTTGGAACTCGATAATTATTCCAATTAATTTTAATTGTTTATATTTTAAAATGAGATGTTCATCCTCTATTTGATTATGTTTATCCACAATTATTTATATGAATTCAAACATCGAGCTTGTATAAGTTGTACTTATGCATAATTATTTGTAATCTTGAATTTTAACTAATATGCATCAATATACAGTAATTTATGCATAACAAAAATATATCGGTATTCGTATCAAATTAAC